TGGCAAGAGCTGTGGACGTTTAGAAAAGGTTTCCTGTTGTATAGACTTGTGGGCAAGAGCTGCACCCGCACCCTCTAATTTATTAGCAGCAGTGCTGGCTTTGCGGTCAGCTGGATTGTGGAGGAGGCTGTTCACTTAACAGTTTACTGATGCGTATTTCTTTTTTAATAATTATTCTTTCTTTTTTTTTTATTTTTATTTTTAAAGAAAATAGCCTGGGAAGTCTCTAAGGCATCCTAAAAAAGAAAAAAAGAAAAGAAAAAGATGTCCCTTTCCCATGTACTAATCTCTTGTTTGGGAATGCTCTGGTATTTAAAGTCCTGGTTTCTCTGGTGTACGAACTTGACTATCTGTGTCAATGCACGTAAATGTTTACTCCCAACTGAGGTGCTGTGCCCCTTCCCCATTCCCTTTGTCTGGGGCCAGCACAAGCATTGTAAAGGCAGCCGTACCCTCCTGTGAGTTTGACCTGTGCTGATCGGCTCCTCAGCCTGAGGCCAGCTGTGGCCCAGGGAGCTGGGGCTGGGGGTTTCTCTGTGCACTGACCTGCTCAGGGGTCCTGATGGTTGCCTGGTTTCCTGCCTGGTTTTTTTGTTTAGTTGGTTGGGTTTAGTTTTCCTATCAAAAAACTCTGGGATCTTTGCACTGAGTGGTGAGGGGCTGAGTCTCTTGAGGTCAGTTAGAAGAAAACATCTTCTACTGCTCTCAGTTTTGTCTTTTCTGGAAGAGAGGATGAGTTGTTGGTTGCTGCCTGCAAGGAGGAGATGATGTGAATGAGCACTTTCCCAGCCATGGTTTCCTCTTATGGCAGGCTGGAGGTGTTAGTAGAGGAACCCCAGAGTCCTGCAGTTGGTAGCTGCATGAGGTTTAGCTTTGGTCATCCAGCTGCAGTGTGTCTGGAGTATCTGTTCTGAAAAGCACTGCAGTAGCCAGAACACTTGGTTGGGACTGCTTCGGAAGAGATAGAAACCCTAGGGCTGAAATCCATCCCTGAATGCAGAGCTGGGCCCTGGCCGCAGGCTTTGTGGTCCTAGAAGTGCGTTGCTGGCCCTGAGCTGCTGCTGAGAAAAGGACCAGTTTTTGTAGACTTGTTCCAGAGATCTGCAAGCTGCCTGTCCAGGCAGGTGCGGGGTCAGCATGTGCAGGAGTGTCACTGCATGGGGCTGAGCACAGCCCAGCAGACTTGGCACTTGCTCCCCTGCCCTTCCCCTGGGTTTCAGCCTTTCTCCCCCTCCCTGGTCCGAGGCTCTTCCTGTCTCAGTGCTGGGAAGGCTGGTGGATCTGCTGGGCAGAGATAAGAGCACTTGTTGCCCAGCAGCTTCTGTCCTGTTCTTGCTTCCTGCAGTATTTTTAACTTTAATCCAGCCAGAGCAGAGCCCTGGAGTGTGATGGGGCTGACAGGGCAGGTCTCACACTGCCGCCCTTGCAGGGAATCAGGGAGAGAAGCACACTTGGCTCTTCTCTCCGACTCCAGGGATTGCTACCATGGGCTGGGCCCTTTGGCTCCTCTGGCTCCCAGCATGATTTTTCTGTCTCCTTTCCCCTTTTCTATCTGTTCCTCCATCGCTGACTCCCCAGTAGATCTACCTGGGTAGGAAGCACAGTGTTGTCCAGGATTGGCTAGACCCTGAGTTATGTTATTAGGTATTGCAGGGCTTGTCCAGGTGGTGAGTAGTTTGGCTGGTTCCAGTTATTCACTGTACAGAGCCCCTGCTTAGCCTGAACTTGGGCTGTAGGGGCAGGGCAGAGGCCCTGGCGCAGGGTGGAAGGACAAAGCAAGGGTGGAAGCCCCTTGGCAGAAATGTACAAGCTGGGCAAGAGCAGTGTCCAACAATTATTGTTTTTTCTTTCATTTTCCCCTATATTTGGCTCATAAGCAACAGTGGCAGTGCCAGCCTAGGAGAGGGGAAGGGTTCAGCTTGTCTTCAATAACATGCAGGACCAAGGTGCTTAAGGAGGAAATACACCCTTTCTTTGTGCAATGTGCTTACTTGAGCAGGGGAGTAGCCTGAAAGAGGAGCTGCCTCCATGTTCCTCTTTCAAACAGATTCATTCCTAGAAAACAAAGGAGACCTTTACCCTCTGGAGTAGAGGAGCTGACAGCTTTTATGCTGGGCTGTGTGCAGAAGTGCTGTATGCTGGTGAGAGCACTGATCACAGACAGGCAGGATTGCTGAGGGTCTGTCCCTCTGGGTGAGGAAGCCTCCATCAGCTCAGTGCACATGGCTCCTATGTCAAGTCAATAGACACAAGTCAGTCCCCTACAGCGAGCTGAAGCCTTTGGCTACCAGCTGATAAAGGTTGTTCAACTTGTCCACAGAATGCCCAGGAGTGAGGCACTAGAGATGGCTTCTGCAGAGGGGCAGTGGTACTGGTGAAATCATGTCTCCATGCAGGAGGTTCCCTGCACAGAGCACCAGTCTGGGGGTCTTCCTGGAACAGGATTAGAAACTGACTTTGGGGGCACCAGGGCTTCTGACTCTGGCCTAAAAGGTGGTATCTCTTTATTAAAGGAGGAGTGTTTTGTACTACAGCATTGAGCTGCACAGTAAGTGGAGAAGAGACTCCTGAACAAACGTAGCTTGGCCATTTGGCTCTGGCAGTGAGAAGTGTGGATAGGAAAGCAATTTAACACCTCCCCTCACACAACCCCCCACAGCCTCATATGCGACCTCTATACCTTCAGGCACGTTCCCATGTCTCTGCCAAGCTTTGCTCTGCTGAGTGAGTCGCTGCAGGGCTGGTGTCCTGCTCTACAGAGCTATCCCAGGCTGCAGCTGGGGCTGTCGGTACAACATCTCAGACCTTGTGCCTGGCTGGGAATGGAGCCGTGGCATGAACTCTTTGTGTGCCGCTGCCTGTGTCCTGCCTGTGCAGTCCTTGCTGCCTTCCCGCATGCCTCCCCTCAGTGAAGGAGGGGGTTCCACTCTTCCTGCTTTGCAATGGTGTTCCCTGCTCCTCCTCACAAACTCTTGCTGTGCTTTAGCTCTGGCTTGCTCTGGCCACGCATTTTCCCCACCCCTTGCTCCATTCCTAGGCTCTTTTTTTCCTATCCATCTGTTGGGTTATTATAATATATATTTTTTTGTAAATTTCTGTTTGAACATTTTGTCATTGTGAAAAAAGAAAAACAAAACCTTTTAAACCATATCCATTTTATTAAATGATTATTATTATTATTATTAATGTTTACTACCTGAATTGATCAGTGAAATAAATACATTCAAAACCAACAACCTCTTTCTGTTTAATTTTCAGTTCCCTTGAGCAGTAATGGTGATACATTATGGGTAAGAGAGAGCAAAACTGACACTGTTTCTCCTTTTGTCTCATTCTGTCAGAGAAGGCTTCAGGCATGGCTTCTTGATGCGATTCCTAGCCTGTTGATGTCAGAAGCTAGACAAGATAAACTTGAAGATCTTCTATCTTTAAGCTTCCCCTAGGAGCAGTGTCTAAGTCAGAAATGGGCAGCTTGGCAGGATCCAGTCCTGGGAAATCCAGTTTTAAGGAGCCAGAGGAGCACTGCTAAGTCTGTGCTGCATGCAGAGCCACAGTGGATCTGGCTCCTGATCAGCTCTCTGCCATTCACTAGACCGTGAGTAAATGTAGCACCAAATGCATGAGACAAGGTAAGTTTGCTGAGCAAACTTAGTAGTAGTAGCTTAGTAGTAGGAAGTAGTCAGGCTGCTCCCAAGTGGAAACCAGGCCCTGCAGGACAAACTGGGTTCATTTGTTAACCTCTTCCCTGCTCTGCCTATCAGTGAAACAACTGGAGTGATCTGCTCCAACTTTCTAGAAATTTAAAGTTTGTTTTGTTCAGGGCATTGAAGATTTTTCCTTGGTTAGTGTCAAATTCTGCTGCTGTTTACACCCTAAATTCTTTTAGCATCAGCGCATTCATGATGTTCATCATTTCTGCTCTGTATGATGTGCACACTACAAGGTAATGGAGAGTTGTGCCCAATATAGCAATAGTTTCACAATGTAATTCTGGTGGCCTTATCCTAAGGAGCATAGACAATGCTTTGATGGCAGAAAAATATCTGTGAAGGTGTGATGGCCTTGAGAAGACAAGATTCTACCTGAATTTAGTTTTGACACTTGGCCTTACCTGTTCAAGTGTATTTGTGTAATGCAACTTCTGAATAAATGATGTGGTCAGTCTTTTTATCAGTAGCTACAAGCTGGACTTGTTGAGAGGTGCCGACTCTCTTGGCTACCTAAAGAGCAGTCCTCAGAGCACTATTTTTCCTGGTCTGTTATTCTTCCTGTGAATCTAACAGGTTTATTTTGATATAGACAGTGAAATGCCAAGAGTTATATTTTAAGCCTGTAACTATCATGAGAGGATGCAGGTGCCTGGCTAATCTTTCTCCTTGGCTCAACTATTGACACTATTGTGGTCACTGAAGTCCATTTTTTACAGCAAAGTCCATTTTCTTCCACTGCTAATTAGGAGTAGATTTGTGTCACTGCTTCAAGTGAAACCTCAGGGTCAGTACACTGCAAAGTGCTAGGTCTCCCCACTCTGCCAAATATAGTCTTCCTCATGAGAGAGAGAAACCAAAGGCTGCAGCGCTCAGGGAGTGTGGTACATATCAGTAACGTCGCCTTCCAGGTTGAAACGCAGTGTGAGTTTCTACTTTGCAATTGAGCCTTTGTGATGTTTCTGTCGGACCAAGCCTGTGGGCCCAGAATCACAGTTAGCAGTACTGTCAGCATCTCTCCTGGCAAATATGTTCTTGTGAGCAGTGTCAGTTCCCATTTCTTGGAACACTTGCTCAATGAAGCCTCAGCTTCCGGTGACATGCAGCAGACTTGCAGGAAGGCCTCATGTAGGAGGTGTCCTTGGGATGAGCCTGACCCTTATCTTGCCAGCCAGCTGCAAGGGGATTATCCGGGAGCTCAGCTATGCAGCTGCAAACACTCTTGTGCTGGCTGGGCTGCCTTAGGACCTTCCTCTTGTCTTGTAAAGCCAGCAAGAAAGCAAGGATTGAACTACTCTGGTAAGTCAACAGAGTTACCTCTGGTAACTTTATTTTATGTTTTATTTGCACAGAAAAGCACTGCCTTGTAGGTAAGTGTAGTTCTTCTCCTAAAGAAGTTATAGCAGCTTATGTATTCAGTGGTGTAAGACTGCAACACAGACAGCTCATTGACCTGTGTCTCCCAGTATGGCCACAGCTCCAGTAGGAGATTATTCACATGCTGGAGCAATATCTAGCATGGAAAACAACACTGACCTCCACCCTTGGTGGTCAGTAGTCTCTCTGCTGGCCAAGGACTGTTTATCACTTCTTTTCAACACTGGAAAGACTATTTTTTACTTGTGGTAACACTACATTTATTTCTGAATCTCCTCTTGTAGTTTGCATGAAAAAAGCTTTGCTTACAATTGTGATTCAGAGCTGTGATAAGGCATGAGCAGTTTCATATCCTAATTTTTGATTCCTTCACATAAATTTTCTGCGCCTCCAGTGATGCTGAAAATACAAGCAGCTCTTGTACACTTCTGAGGACTAGTTAAAATAAATTTGATGGCTGCAGCTAAGCCTCCCAGTAGCCATCTGTTCATATCCCTCCTCAAATCCAGGGTTAGAAGACCAGGAACATTTCTTCTGTAATAAGAGACCAAGAATTTGCATGCCTCTTTTAACTCTGTTCTTTTCAGAGCTCTCGCACTCCTGTGAAGGACAGCAAATTCATCCAACTTTAGAAACTCATTCTCAGAACAAACCAGCAAAAAACCTTCTGTCATCCTAGAGTGTGTGGTGTCTACTTTCCTGGTCTCTACCTCATCCAGTCTCACCAGGAGAGTGTTTGCAGGTGAAGATGAACAGTGGAATTCTCTTATTGCCTCTCCTTGGGTTCCTCCCACTCGTGATACCTACATGCCCTGTGCCATGCAAGTGTACCACCACCATTATCGACTGCACTTCAAAAGACCTAACTCTAGCAAAACTACCTGTTGCTTTCCGCCCTTCAGCTGAAATTATCCACCTTGGTTACAACAAGCTCACCTCTATTCCCAATGGACTCTTTGACAATCTAAAGAGCCTTCAGGTTGTCTACCTGCAGGGCAACCCTTGGGAATGCAACTGCGACATCCTCTACTTGCGCTCCTGGCTCCAGTGGCAGCAGAACCGGACCTTATACAGGGATGTGAGATGCAGCTCCCCAGCTCACCTGCAGGGCCGGATCATTGCCTATCTGACAGAAGATGAGATCATTGCCACATGCCAGTACTGGTACTGCATCCTGGCTCTCCTCTCTCAGCTCTGTCTTTTCATCCTCCTTTTCCTCCAGGGTGTCTTTATTATCTTCATCATTGTCTACCTTCAGAAATTTCGGAGAATGACTGCTGAAGCTCAGAGCACCACCCAAGATCTACACCAGCATGTAGACACATGGGCATCTTCAAGAAGCCCTTACAATGGTGATTAACATCACAAGACTGAAGACCCTCCTCCCCCTTGGGTGATGCTGTGCGAAGGTCTTGTGGTTTGTGATATCCAGAGGGAGCAATTCGGTGCAGGATCTGACCCTGACTGCCATCCAAAACAGGATTGGACCTGATCAGACACTTGCTGTATTTCCAAAGACCTGATCTTGTGGGTTTTTACTGCTTTAAATTCTTTAGCATGATCTTTATTGCTTTGATGAGCTCGGGGTGGTTCTGGTTTGATAGACTAAGGAAATCATCAACTACAGCAACCAGAACTGACTCATAACTGTAGGGCCTGTAGTGCTTGATCCTTCCTGTGCTAGCATATTTCAGCCATATTTTCACAATGCTTCTGGTTGCACTCGATCAGGTGAGAATAGAGGTGGTCAGTGAACAGTTGAGGTACTGGACTAAGGCAGTGGAGAAATACAGTTTCCTTGGTGCGACCACAGATTGCCTTAGTAAACTTTGACAAATTGACTGAGTCTTCTCCTGTCTCAGTTTCCCATCAGTAAAAGGGAAAGGATGCTTCTTCTTGCTTAATACATCTTTCCTAATGTTCTTCTGGAGGAGGGAGGAATTGTTTAGAAGCCTACCCTTTTCCCCCTGTCTTCATTCCTTTTAATCTATGTATAGTTTCTATACTGATTCCAACATACACTGTGTCAGACTGGGGCCCTGAGTGTTTGTGAGACATTCACCTGGAGCCAAGTGGTGTTGAACCTGGAGTCTCCCTCTGATTGTGTTTATATGGCACCTGGCACAGGAGATCTGGTCTTGTTTAGACCCACTGCCGTGACTACTGCCGGTTATGTTGTCCCTCTGTTTCTGGAATGAAGCAAAATTGAAATAAAATAATGATGCATGTTGATCTAAACGGCTTATTTTTGGCATCCTACACTGCGAATCTTGCGCTCTGTTGCACCCTGGACAGTTTCTTAGGCTCCCGTACACCCACCTGTGCCGAGCAGAGCACGTAACGAAGGCAGGTGGAGGTGTTACCAGCAGCGCGCCACGGGGTTAACCGTGACAGCTTCTGCCTTTCACAGCGGGCAGGTCCTGCGGGGCTCCCGGGGTAGCTCCTAAGCTGCCGCTTACCGTGTGTCACCGGCGGGTCTGTAAAGGTGCCAGCCTGTGGGTGGGGCACGGCCCTGAGCCCTCAGCGCAACGGTCGCGGGCGGCCGTTAACGGTCGTTAACCGCCACCTGGTGGTCCCGAGCGGCGCTGACCGCCCTCACCTGCTGCTGAGGGGAGCCCTGCGGAGCGGGAGGGGCTCCGGGCGCTGCCGGAGGGGACAAGGAGGGGTCTGTGCCCTGGTGCTGTGCGGTGGACGCTGAGGTGCGAAGGTGGAGTCCTGTGTGCAACATGAGGCCGCCTCACCCTGCCGAGGGCGGGCTGGCGTCGAAGGCTCTGAGGGCAGTTCGCCATGTTGTGTGCGCCTGGGCCAGCCTGGCTGAGGTGAGTGATACACAGCTCTGCTCGGTGGGCTCTTTCCTCCTTTTCTTCTCTCTGCTCCATGTCCCTCCAGTACTGGTTCACCGTGATGTTTGCCTGACTGAGTGTTGCAGTGTAGCAACCAAGGAAATGGAGTTCCAGTGCAGATTTGGTTGGTTGGTTTGTTCTGCTGGGGATGGAACCTTGCTTGGTGTTGTGGTCAGTGCACCTCTCGTGTGCGGCTGCAATGTTCTCTGCAATATCAGCAGTAACCATGGCCTCCAAAGGGGGACACAGTTCCACTGAGGAGCCTGCTCCGTGGAGATGCCCAAAGTGATGCTCCATGAGGCACCCGACACTCAAATCTCTTGACTTTCAGGTACTGTGGTGTTACTGCTCCTCCAAGGAATAGTTTTTCCCCAGGAGTAGAAAACCTGTTTTCTGGCTTGTTTTTCCCCAGTATCCTTTTCCCAGAATCCAGATGCAGATGTGTAAGGAAGTAGCGCTGTCTCCCCTTCACCCCTTTTTTTGTAGTTTCCTTAGGTCAATTATACTGCTATTTTAGCTGGTTTATGCCTGTTGTAAGTCCCTTTCCTTTAGTGATATGTGCAGAGAATGTGAAAGGCTTTTTGCTTTCCCAAGGTGTGCTGGTGTGGCAGAATGAATCCCTGAGTTTTCTGCAGGTTTTTAGCTGAATTTACCTGTGTTGGAGGATGTTGCCGGTGCACGTGGACAGGTACTGACAGTGCTGCAGGCACAGGCTCAGGTACTGGGAGAGGCTGGACTGGGCACAATCCCAGCCCTGTGACTGCTGAGCTGCCTGCCTGTCACCACTGCCGTGGGGTGCTGGAAAACCTTCAGTACTTGGTGTGCCCAGAGCAGAACAACTGCTGACCGTGGTTTCATTTCCCTGGGGAGGCAGGAAGGGTCCTGACTCTGCATCATTAAGTTTTGGCACATGAAAGGTAAAAAGCCTTTTTGGCATCATTTGTACCTGTGAAGAATGTGACTAGCCATAGCAATGTGATAATGAATTGCACTGGGTGCAGAGTGATTTGTATGCCATGGCAGCATGTCTAATCCATAAATCTAGTGCCTGCATGTCTTGGCTTCTCCTGGCTTGGAAAGCTGCATGTCACAGATGCTTTCTTGCTCCACTGGCCTGTGGAGGGTCTGCTGTACTGCTGAAGGGAGAACTGGCTTCCTTTCTGAAGGGAGGGACTGTCCAAGGCTTCACAGTGGCTTCAAAAGGGAAGCAGTGGTGAAATATGGCAAAGATAAATGCCAACCGTTAAGATGCTTTACAAATAACTTAATAGTATCAAGGCCAATCCAACACCTGGGCATGCAGAATTAGGCTGCCAGGCCTGCCAGACAGGCTGCTGCATTGCCAAAGATTCACAGTGCTTCCAAGCAGCTCCTGTCTCTGAAAGACATTGGAATCCAAACCAGAGTGTGTTTGCAGCCTCCACTGATGCAGAGCTCCAAGCTTGAGGTGTCTGAAAAGCAGGTCAGCACTTTTTAAGTGAAGGACAAAATGGTTGGTAGATGACGCTGGGGAAGGCACACTGGTTCTACCTTCTTTTAAATACCTTCTTTTTTCACCACGTGGTGATGCTTGCATGCTTTGCACAGTAAAAGAAGTCTTGAAAGCAAAGCAAGCTGATTTTGGAGCTTTGAGAATTTTAGCCTAGAATCCCACAGAGAACCAGTTTTTCAGTCTCTGTACCTTATGGTGATAGTGGTTATGTTTTGCTTCATGTTTGCTGCAGATGCTTGTTTAGATGGTGTATTATTGACGCCTGGGAACCTACCCCTGTTGTTTTAAATAGACTTTCATAGTTTCTGATCCCTCATATGTAGGATGAAAAGATCACATATTTACACATACAGAACAACTTGTCCACTGTAGGGCTTGGTTACTGAGACAGGCCCATTCTGTGCAACAGCTGGAGAATAGCACTGCTTAGAGATCATATGGAGGAAGGTCCTGGAGAAGCATGGCATATCCCTGTCACACACAATCACAGATGTATGCTGTGCATGTGCCCGAGTGGGAATGTTCAATGGATGCCCTGGTGGCAGCCTGATGTGGGATTTGTTGCATTGCTTAGGAATTGAAAAAGACATTTTTCATGGTCATTTATGTGAGGCTATCTGGCCTTCTTCAAATCCCTAATTTCCCTTCAGTATTGAAGTATACAGGACATCCCAGAGAGAGTGCCAAGAAAACCAGTGCTAATGCCACATCATGGGACATCTTGTCTGTTCTAGGGTACATGAGAGAAGAGCTATTTTACAAATATTTATAAATGGGATTTACTTTTTTTTTAATATATATTTGCATATGAAAACTGAGGCTTCCTCAGGCTCCTAAGCCTGATTTCAGAGGGCTTTAAATGGAGAGCACACAGTATAACTTGACAGGTTTCCACAAATGATTAGTTATCTTGGATACATGTCTTGAAAGCAGCAGGTTACAGTGTTAAGGTTTATTCTGAAGATAGTATGTGCAGTTTGTTCTGAAGATACTGTATGTCTGGATAAAGGTATATGTTCCATATATTCTCTGGAAGGACAGGTTAGAGCACTGCTGAACGACATAAAAGATTAAAATGGTTTTATTAAAAAAAAAATAAAATCACCCTCTTAAATCTACAAGTAACTTTTTTCCTACCTCTTTATGTGTTTCATGATCTTCTTCTGCTCTGAAGTGTTTGTGACTATTGAGAACAGAATATGCTGGGAGTGTTGCTTTATGTTTTCACAGGGGAGGATTAACCAGACAGTTATGAAACCAAACTGTAAAGAACGCCCTCTATGGAAACGTAATGGTTTAGGCTGTAGCACTGATCTACGGTCCTCCTCTGTAAGAGCTGATAATCACTTCTAACCTTCCCTGTCTCAGTGCTTTGATGCCATATCAGTGTCATTCATTTTGCATGAAAACAGAGCTCATTGCAGTAAGGTCAGTCTCGGGAGCCGTACCCATATTGACATGTAATTTGGATTTGCTCGGAAGAGGGCAGCAAGTAGCTTTTAATCTCCTGTTTGCTTTTACTGGTAAAATCAACGTGAGATGTGGGCCTGGGGGAGGATAAAGGCAAGTGTGATGTGTGTCTACCCAAAGAGACTAAATGAATCTCTGAACTTAGTTGCCCAACCAGCAGACATAGCTTTTTTTAAACTGTAATTACTAGTTTACACAGTCAATTTCATGTTGGCATTCCAAAACATCAGACTGAAACAAAGAGGGAAGGAAGGTGGGCATTGTCTTGCTATGTCCATAATGGAAATAGTGTTGGTTCTCTGTGGGGTGTTTAGTCTGATGAGCTTTGGAGGAATGAAACCTACCCCTTGGTAGGTGGGGGAGTAGGGGGCGACAGGGAGAAAACCTTGCCTATCGTCACTGAGTGGTTAGAGCAGTGGGTTTCTGCTGTCATGCCTGCTGGAGATGGGAAGGTGTCTGGAGGATGGGTAGAAGGTATGTGCTCTGAGAATACCCCAGGGCTAGGTAAGGCAGAGGTGCAAGAGCAACTCAAAGTTGCTGGGGTTGGTTCAGTGCATCTATGGAACAGAAAATGCGGAGGCTAAAGAGGCAAACATGGAATCACCCAGGGAATATAAATGCCCCTGCACTGGGAGGACCTGTGGGGAGCTGAAGTCTGGATTGAAATACTGTGAAACACTGACATCTTCTGTTACAAATCATAGCCCTTAAATTGGTTGTCTCTCATGGGATGCAGTATGTCTGTGCCTGTGTTTGGGGAGCTTTTTTCAGCAGGGGCTTTTACCTCCAGCATTCTTAAGCTCACCAAGAGATGATGTGGGTGCCCATGCTTGCGCTGCATCTCCATTACCTGATCTTTCAACACAGTTTTAGCAAGCTAATTTTTTTCCCAGGACAAGGCTTTAATTCCCTTCCATTGATCATGGCCAAAGAAGAGAGCTCAAATGCAGATTTTATTCCAGAAACAATGCTCCTCTTATGTGCTGTGTCATGATCTCTGTGAATGAACCTGCTGGTAAAATGAAGGCTTTTCCCCGGGCTGTTTTGTACCTTTCTCAGGTGAATCTTCTTGTTAGATCAGCTGCCTGGATTCCTGCAGAGGGAGAGAAGGGAAATAAAGCATAAAATCTTTGTTCCATGGGGACATGAGACAATAAGACAGTCACTGGGGCTTGGGCTTCATATTTAGTTTCCATAAATCCCCATGTGCTGCAGTGAGATTGTCCACGTTAAAGCCTGTGAAGCAGAGGGAAGTTTCCCTGTGCAGCTGCACATGTTTTTCTGTCTTGTAATACTTCGAGTCCGGTCCAAAGACTCTGCCCTGAGCTGGCTGTT